CTGAGCTGCATTAAACAGTGTGTAAATACATCTAAATGCCACTTCAGATGCAGCTTCTGTTTCCTATGCATTGCAAAGATACATTTTGTTGACGCTGATTTCTTTTGCCTGGTAAAAGCCCAAAAGTCTTATTCTAACCGACTGATTAAATGTAAGAATTTGACTCAAAAGATGATCCACACTTTTAGAAAAAAATGGCTTTATAAAGGTAAAAATGCCCATAAAAGGTAAAAATCAATTTAAACTAATTGAAAAAGATTAGCTGTTTCTATCACTGCTGTGAACTGACCAGCACACAGAATATGAAGAATATCAAAAACATTAGGAGTCAGCTGTCCACGGTGAAATATCAGCACAATAACACGCTCAGCAAAATATCATCTAATTATCGTTATCGATAAAATTCCAGAAAATATATCGAGATATCTTTTTTTGACAATATCGCACACCCCTACTTTGAACTATCCCTTTAAATGAATGAATGCAGAAGTATGTCATATTGTCATGTGTTTTTGCAGGACGTGGACCTGCGGCTGAAGTGGCCCAATGACATCTACTACAGTAACCTGATGAAGCTCGGCGGGGTTCTGGTCAACTCCACCGTCACGGGGCAAACCTTCAGCCTTCTGATCGGTACGGTCTCAGCAGGTCAGTGTGTTCTCAGTGTCTCAGCGTGACGTCTGTGGTGTTTCCTGCAGGCTGTGGGTTCAACGTGAGCAACAGCAACCCGACCGTCTGCATCAACGACCTGGTGCTGCAGCAGAACCGGGAGCACGGCCTCGGCCTGGACGCGCTCGCTCCGGATCAGCTGATCGCACGGTCGGTCACGCTGCTGGAGCGCTTCGTGTCGGACTTCCAGCTGCGCGGCCCGCAGGCGCTGCTGCAGCTCTACTACAGCAGATGGGTGCACAGGTGAGCCGTCTGACGCTCCACACACACCTGTGTCTGCGCGCGCGTGTGTGTGTGCTGACGTGTGTCTGTGTTTCAGCGGCACACGCGTGCGTCTCTGGAGCGAGGACGGGCCCGAGGCACAGGTGCTGGGTCTGGATGAGAACGGCTTCCTGCAGGTGCAGACGGGAGATCAGGTCGTGTCTGTGCAGCCCGACGGAAACTCCTTCGACATGCTGAGGAACCTGGTGGTGACCAAAACACGCTGAAGACCTCCAGAACACGTCGTCTCAGCTGGCAACAACTACACGGAAAACTTGCTCAGCCATCATTTAATACGAATTCATTTAGCAGAAATGTCTATCTCTTTCTGAATAGTTTTAACTCATTTCAGCGCCTGTCTGCAACCCGTTCTGCTTCAGCTGTGTGAGTCCAGCAGGAGATTCGACAACACACATGTGAACCTTGAGAAGTGTGTGTGGTGTTTGCTGTAGAATAACATGCACCAGTCAATCTCTCATGTTAGATAAATAGGCCATTTTGATTTCACTTTACTGTTAAACGGGAGTGTGAGTGTGTGTGAGTGTGTGTTGAGTGTGAGAGTGTGAGTGTGTGTTGAATGTGAGTATGAGTGTGAGAGTGTGAGTGTGCATGAGTGTGTGTGTTGAGTGTGAGTGTGCGTGATTGTGAGAGTGTGCGTGAGTGTGTGTGTTGAGTGTGCGTGAGTGTGAGTGTGTGTGTTGAGTGTGAGTGTGCATGAGTGTGTGTGTGGTGAGTGTGCGTGAGTGTGAGTGTGTGTGTTGAGTGTGAGTGTGCGTGAGTGTATGTGTTGAGTGTGCATGAGTGTGTGTTGAGTGTGTGTGTGCGTAAGTGTGAGAGTGAGTATGTGTTTTAATACGAATTCATTTAGCAGAAATGTCTATCTCTTTCTGAATAGTTTTAACTCATTTCAACGCCTGTCTGCAACCCGTTCTGCTTCAGCTGTGTGACGCTTTTCAGAGTCCAGCAGGAGATTCGACAACACACATGTGAACCTTGAGAAGTGTGTGTGGTGTTTGCTGTAGAATAACATGCACCAGTCAATCTCTCATGTTAGATAAATAGGCCATTTTGATTTCACTTTACTGTTAAACGTGTGCAGACAGACAGCAGGGACGTTTATGGGCTTTAATATGAGCAATATTTCTTTTAAGTCTGGTTCAGTGTTTGGTGTAATGGATCAGAGTGATTACTGGGGAAAAGCACACGCTCATATGCCTCTCAAAAATATTAATTAGAAATCATTAAGTGGAAAAATGTTTCTGTGATTCTTCCCATTAACACACTGCTTTTACAGTAAAGGCTGATGATTGCCTTTTCCCGTGAACTGATTAGTTAGTTTAGAGAGGTAATTAGTGTTCTGTAGTGGATACTACCTATTAACCCAACACTGGCCTCGTTCTCAGCAAACTGAAGAGGTTTATGTGGAAATCCGACTGACGCTCGGTAAAACTTGTGCTTTTGTCTGTAATTCTCGTTTGGTTGCATGCTCGATTTTGAGGTGATTTGTATATTCATATCGCATCAGGTAATCAGCATCACTAAATATTTTGTAATGATTCATGGTTTGTAAACAGATACAGATGATCCCTTTTAAAGAAGACATTCCCGAGTTGTATAAAATGAAATAAAATTATTGTGACTGATTGATCGTTCAGTGTGTTTGTTCCTTCAGGCTGTGAAGCGCAGTCCAGTCGCAGGTGTGTGTGTGTGTCTGTGAGTGAGTGAGTGTGTGTGTCTGTGAGTGTGTGAGTGAGAGAGTGTGTGTGTGTCTGTGAGTGAGTGA